CGTCCATAGCGCGTCTCGGCTCCGACCAAGTCCCTTACTGCTCCGCCCTCTGCCCTGGGGGCGCCGGCAGGGAAAGCAGCGTGTAGACAGCAAAAACGGAGGGAGCCCCCGCCGTGTCCGTATGATCTGCTCAATTATTCCGCCACCGGAGGGTGCGAAATGCTCCTTAATTTCGCATTTAGACTCCTCCTAGAATTTCGGATTGAATTCCCTTTAACTGGAAGTTAAAAGAGTTGGCACTCCCCCCGCATGCAGCCTGGTCTAGCCATTGCCCCAAACTAGGGTGATCTTTCGTCCTGTGGTTCTCTCTTGGAAGCCTGATTTTTGTTTCTTTTTTATCCTGTTGCTGTTAAAAAGGCGCGGGTTCTTCGCTGTTGTGGGCAAGGAGCCCTCGGGAAACTCACGGCTCCGCTGTTGGCAAAGCGACTGGCGAGGGAGGATAGAAGTTGATACCGGCAAAGGCTGAAAGCAGTTGTTGCAAATTGTTCCCTAACCTGTGTTTTCCCGGTGCTGCCCCCTTTTGGACAACAGCTGCCCGTGCCCTGTCACCCTGACCCGCACCCGCCCACCCACTTAAGGGTCTGGAGCCACCATCCCAACCCCATTCCAATCCGTACCACATTTCTATTCATCCTTGTTTATTCCCAAAAGGAGAAGAAAGGGAATGTTTACGACTCGGTCTGACATGATTCTCTGTAACTTTGGATGTTATTTCATCGAGAAACTTCAGTTTCCACAGCAATAAGATGGCCATAATAGCCTGGCTGGTGTGGCCCAGTAGGTTGGGCATGGGCCCATGCACCCGGGGGCCGCCAGGGTCCATTCCCGGTCAGGGCACATGCCCGGGTTGAGGGTTAGGTCCCATCTGGTGCTTCCTGGAGGCAACGGATCTGTTTCTCTCTCACATTGATGTTTCTCTCTTTCCCTCCCCCTTCCTCTCTCTCAAAATCAATGAAAGCATATTTAAAATGGCCATATCAGTTCCTACTTCGTGGAATGGCTAATGCCTCCGAAGTTGTAAGGGTAGAGCCTGGCACACAGCAAACATTCACAGGTAACAGCTGTTGCTACCTCTACTACTGCTATTGCTGCTACCTGACATCATTCCCAGCTATTACACCTCCCCGAGCCCACTAAACCCTTGGCAGTCCCTGAAACACCTGCACTAACCTTAGTATTTCCTAAACAATAATTCAGAATTTCCAAAATGATTGTGGATCCCAGGCCTCCAATAATCCCCAATACCCTATCTCCTGACATAAACATGTTTTCAAAATGTTTTTCCTTAGAAATTTATATCTTTGCTCCAAATTATTATACTATGATATTGTCTTCTTTTTATAATTCTTGTTTTATTAAATGTGCCGTTTTCAAGGGAAACAAATCAAAAAGTATATACTTTGTCAGAAAGTTAGTGAAAACTTGTTTCCTAACATAATAACAAAACAAAGTTTGCTAAAGATTGTACAGTTGAAATTTACTTTTAAAATACCTGTAAAAGACTATTTGAAAACCATCTTTACTCTAGTTCAGCCATGGGCAAACTACGGCCCACGGGCCGGATTCGGCCCTCGGCCGTTTTAAATGAATAAAACTAAAAAAAAAAAAAAAGACCGTACCCTTTTATGTAATGATGTTTACTTTGAATTTATATTAGTTCACACAAACACTCCATCCATGCTTTTGTTCCGGCCCTCCAGTCCAGTTTAAGAACCCATTGTGGCCCTCGAGTCAAAAAGTTTGCCCACCCCTGCTAGTTGTTGAGTAGTAAACCCCTAATTGGGGGTTACAGGTGCCAATAATTTTGGATCTTGCTTGGGGAATACCTCTTGGGAGTGTGCAATTTGAAGTCCTATACTCTGACCAAGGCTTGGTGGGGTGAGTGAGGGTGGGGGAACTACCAAATATCAAGTAAGGGGCCAGTAAGGGGTAGAAGCTGATGGATTAAAGACTTATTGCTGGATTGCCCCCACTTCATGGGGTATAGTTAATTCTACCTGCTCTGTGTCAAAATCATGTTGCCCACTTAAAGGCTTATGATTGGCCTCTACCCAACCCCCAATCGCCAGCTTGATTTATTTAGTCCTGATTTATTCATTCTATCAGCTTCCAAGCCACCACTCACTCTCCCAGTTCAAAGCCTGTATGGGCTTCCTTGTTCTGAGTTCTCCAGCTGGGTCTTAGTACCGCCCTGTCAACTGACCTCCCGTCTCTTCCCAGGAGGTGGGGCAGACCTTGCAAACACAGCCCAGTGCTTCCAGATCTCCCCCACCCCAGTTCCCTGGCTTTTCACTAAAGGGATGGTTTTTCCCCTCAAGCACAATTTTAGACCTGCTGTTCTAACTTGGACATTAAAGGCTTTTTATTAATGAGCAGCTGTTCACAGTTGAATACAGATCATAAAGTCACATTCATTTCATGATCAAGCAAAACAAAGCCTTGCAGCTCATCCAGTAACAGTTTTGAACAGTTACATTTGAAAGCAAAGGATTATCTGATGATAATTTTAATGGCTTGTTTTATTGATCTTTTTAGTCTAGAGAATTTTGCTTTCTTTCTATATAATGCATTTTAATATTCTGGAAAATTATGATTTATTTTTTAATATCACCATTTAATAAGGTCAATTGCTTAATCGGAAAATAAAGTCTGAAAAAAAACATTTTTATTTCTTTTCTACTAAAAGGAAAATTAACTTCTGTGAAGCATTCAAATAAATATTTTTCATCATAATATTACTACCACATATGTTCAATTAGTAGTAATTTTTATTGCTAAATACAGGAACAATTAAGAATTAACCAATTCCCTTCAGAAGAGGCCTGAATAGGAATGAATGAAAGTAATGGATTGTCTTTTACTAGAAGTGAGTTCAAGTGAAAAGAGGGGGTAAACCATTCACATCTGTGTTCCAGTAGTGAAGTTCAGCAATGTCATTACCTCTTGGCTAATGTCCACATTGTTGTTAGAGCTCTAATATAGTTCAGCTATATTACGAGTTAAGTGGACAGTCTGAGCAGGTCTGGTCATCTGAGGCCATTTATTATTTCTAAGGATAAATGTGTTGAGATGCATACAATCAATATAAAACAATCGTTTATAAAATGATCTATCTTGTATGTGAGCTGGAAACTTAAAAATAAAATAAAACAACACAAACCAACAATGGAAGCCTAATCCATTCAACTACAGTATGGTAGACATTGTGGCTTTTGCCTTAAACAAAACTGAGTCTGTTTTCTCATCTGCAAAATTTGGTTAATAATTCTAGTCTTGTGGATTTATTTTACAAATAAGTGGCATAATATATGTGGAAATGTAGTGGAAACAAAGCAATAACATTGATGAGAGCTTTCAGGCATATATGTTTATCATCTTCAAGTCCAGTAGAACCTAATTTTAGCTACAACAAGAAAAACAGAGGTGAATATTTCTCATCAGCAACCAGAAATAGACATGTTTGTTAGTAACATATTAAAAAAGGGAAAAGAGGAGGGAACACTAAACTTTGAAGCTATGATCTGAGTACATTTCCCCAACCCTTTGCCCCTTTGCCTGAAAGATAAGAGGGGGAAAGCAGCTGTTAGAAGGAAAGCACCTGTACAACCTACCTCTCCCGCTCCCTGCTTTTTCACTACTCATGGGATATTTTCCTCATCAACAGTATGTGTTGCCAAGTTTCATCCGTTTTTTCTTCTCAGTGTCCATCATTTTAGCACACCAGGATTGTCATAATGATGTCCTAACTAGTATTTTATATTTTCCCCTAAATCAGTTTGGTCCTTTGCTGTACGATTCATTTAAATATTTGTAAAACGCAGACTTCTTCATGGTAAGGGTCCTGTTTAAAATAGAAATTTGCCATTGTCCATCAATTCAACTTCACGTGGGAGGATACCGGTCTTGATTGTTGCTTTTAAACTCTTCATTTCGACCTGATGCTCCTGGATCCCCCTCTGGCCACCTCTGGCGCTTTAACATATCAGACATATCAGCAGTTCTTGTTAAAGGTGTTTGTCTGTATATACTATACATTTTATACAGTGAAAATTA